CTGGCTGGGGCTTCCCACTGTCACAGGCAAGAGGGGGCGCGATATTGGTTATCCTAGGAGGCCCCCAAGAGACCCCCAAGAGGCCCCAAGAGACCCCCCAGAGGCACCCAAGGTGCTCCCAGAGGCCCCAAGATGGCCCCAAGAGGCCCCAAGAGGCCCCCAGGAGGCCCCAAAGAGGATTCCGAACGGCCCACAGAGGCCCCCCCGAGGCACCCAAGACGCCGAAAAGCCCCTCAGGACGACCCTCTACTCGCCTGGGCGTCGTTTCTGGACGGGCTGGTGGAGATACGCGAAGCGTCTAGAATTTAGGAACCCCTCTTCTTTGATTGATTTCCTCCACGATGGCCGCAAGAGGCCCCCAGGATGCCCCAAGAGGCCGCAGGATGGCCCCAAGATGGCCCCAAGAGGCCCCCCAAGAGGCCCCCAGGAGGCCCCCAAAAGACTCCCAAGAGGCCCCAAGAGACCCCCCAGAGGCACCCAAGGTGCTCCCAGAGGCCCCAAGATGGCCCCAAGAGGCCCCAAGAGGCCCCCAGGAGGCCCCAAAGAGGATTCCGAACGGCCCACATAGGCCCCCCCGAGGCACCCAAGACGCCGAAAAGCCCCTCAGGACGACCCTCTACTCGCCTGGGCGTCGTTTCTGGACGGGCTGGTGGGGATACGCGAAGCGTCTAGAAATTTGTCACGCGTGATGGCTCCCCTTTTCTTTTTCCTCCCGCTCCTCCTGCTGTTCCTCTGCCTGATTTTTCGCTTCCTCATCTCGAACATCATCGACATCATCCCCGCTATCCTCGTCCCCGCCCCCCATCACCATACCCATTTCATATTACTCATCCGCCTCGTCCGCCACAATCGTCGTCGTCGTCCTCCTCCTCCTCCTCCTCCTCCTCCTCCCCCTCCTCCTCCTCCTTGGTCGCTTCCTCCTGCGCAAGACTTTGCGCGCCGGGGCCAGAAACGACACCGGAAAAACAACTGCTGACCAGCCCCCAGCGGCCCAGGGCCACGACCCACCCTCGAAAGCCGAAGCCTTCGGGAACACGCACCCAAATTTACTTGACGAAAGATTCAACCATATGCAGCCGCGAACACCGCGAAAAATATGAGACGGAGAAGAGGGGGCACAAAATGGGGCGGCGCCGCCATGTGGACCGTGCCACTGGGGCCTTCGGTGGGCTCTCTATGGGGCCACGAACCGTGCGAGTGGTGCCCCAAGACGGGGCGGCGCCGCCATGCGGACCCTGCCACTGGGGCATTCGGTGGAGCTCCCTATGGGGCCACGAACTGCGAAAAGGGTGCGCCAAAATGGGGCGGCGCCGCCATGCGGACCCTGCCGCTGGGGCCGTTGGTGGAACTTTTTATGACGCCACGAACCGTCAGAGGGGTGCGCAAAAACGGGGCAGCGCTTCCATGTGGACCCTGCCACTAAAACCTTCGGTGGACTCCCTATGGGGCCACGAACCTGCGGATCCAGCCTATGGGGCTTTCGGTGGAGCTTTCTATGGGACTACGAACCGTGCGAAGCGTGCGCCAAGATGGGGCGGCGCCGCCACGTGGACCCTGCAACTGGTGACTTCGGTGGCGCTCCTTACGGGGCCACGAACCGTGTGAGAGGTGTGCCGACATGCGTGCGGCGCCGCCATGTGGACCCTGCCATGGGGCCTTCGGTGGAGCTCCCTATGAGGCCACGAGCCGTGTGAAGGGCGCGCCAAAAACAATTAGCCTGGCGAAAGACCCAACCATATGCAGCCGCGAGCACCGCGAAAAATATGAAACGGAGAAGAGGGGGCACAAAATGGGGCGGCGCCGACATGTGGACCCTGCCACTGGGGCCTTCGGTGGGCTCTCTATGGGGCCACGAACCGTGCGAGTGGTGCCCCAAGACGGGGCGGCGCCGCCATGCGGACCCTGCCACTGGGACATTCGGTGGAGCTCCCTATGGGGCCACGAGCTGCGAAAAGGGTGCGCCAAAATGGGGCGGCGCCACCATGCGGACGTTGGTGGAACGTTTTATGACGCCACGAACCGTCAGAGGGGTGCGCAAAAACGGGGCAGCGCTTCCATGTGGACCCTGCCACTAAAACCTTCGGTGGACTCCCTATGGGGCCACGAACCTGCGGATCCAGCCTATGGGGCTTTCGGTAGAGCTTTCTATGGGACTACGAACCGTGCGAAGCGTGCGCCAAGATGGGGCGGCGCCGCCACGTGGACCCTGCAACTGGTGACTTCGGTGGCGCTCCTTACGGGGCCACGAACCGTATGAAAGGTGTGCCGACATGCGTGCGGCGCCGCCATGTGGACCCTGCCATGGGGCCTTCGGTGGAGCTCCCTATGAGGCCACGAACCGTGTGAAGGGCGCGCCAAAAAAATTAGCCTGGCGAAAGACCCAACCATATGCAGTTGTGATTACCGCAATTATGAATATCATTTTCGCCCGCGCTCCCTATGGGGCCACGAACCGTGCGAGGGGCGTGCCGACATGCGTGGCGGGGCACGCAACGCGAGCGACGACGATAGGTCGGTGGGCGATAAACTGAGAGCACGTGACTCCGATTGTGGATGAGTCTGCGCGCGCGTGGGTCGACGTGTATAAATGTCGACGCCCATGTCGGCGCGCCTCTCACGAGGATCGCGCCCTCTTCTTTCCCGTTCTTCTTCTCCCTCTTTGCCCGTGCACACCCACGTCCAAGGCTGCGGGCGCGGCGCCGCACGGAGTCCCCGCGATGCGCGCTGGTCGCCCCGAAGGGGTCCCGGCGACGCGCGCGGGTCGCCCGCTGCGCGGAGCAGAGAAAGCGAGCAGGCTGGCTCCCGCCCGGGATGCGCGGCCCGAAAGCGGCCTCAACACGTCGAGTACGACGAGAAACCTCTGGATATCGAAAGTCGCCGCCATATGCGAACTCCGCCACTGGGCCGCCATGCGAGTTCCGCCACGGAAACCTTCGGTGGAGCTCCCTGTGGGGACACGAGACACTGTACTGGTTGGTGGATGACGCACGCGGGCGGTCCCACTGGGGCCTTCGGTGGAGCCCCCCATGGGGCCACGAAGCGCTGTACTGGGTGGTGGATGACGCATGCACGCGGTCCCACTGGGGCCTTCGGTGGACCCCCTTTATGGGGCCATGAAGAGCTGTGCTGGGTTGTGGGTGACGCACGCGGGCGGTCCAACTGGAGCCCTCGGTGGAGCTCCCAATGGGGCCGCGAATTATTGTGCCAGGCGGTGGGAGACGCATGCGGGCGGTCCCACTGGGGCCTTCGGTGGAGCCCCCAATGGGGCCACGAAACAATGTGCTGGGTGGTAGATGACGCATGCGGGTGGCTCCACTGGAACCTTCGGTGGGGCTCCCTATGGGGTCACGAAGCGCTGTACTGGGTGGTGGATGACGCATGCGGGCGGTCCCACTGGGGCCTAAGGAAGAGTTCCCTATGGGGCCACGAAGCGCTGTGCTGGGCGGTGGATGACGCACACGGGCGGTCCCACTGGGGCCTTCGGTGGAGCTCCTCAAGGGTCACGAAGCGCTGTACTGGGTGGTGGATGACGCATGCGGGCGGTCCCACTGGGGCCTTCGGTGGAACCCTCTATGGGGTCACGGAGCGCTGTACTGGTTGGTGGATGACGCATGCGGGCGGTCCCACTGGGGCCTTCGGTGGAGCTCCCTATGTAGCCACAAAATGTTGCGCTGGGTGGTGGATGGCCGGATGGGCTCGGGGCGCAAAGGGGGCCTGGTGGATTTTATGTGTTCTTTGCAAGAAGAAAAATTAGTGGAAGCTCTCCTTGCGACTCCTTCTCTCTATCTCTCTCGTTGTCTTTCTCTTTCCCTGTGTAGTTCCCTTTTATCTCTCTCTGTCTCTCTATTCGTTTTTTTTTTTTTTCTCTCTCTCTCTCTCTCTCTCTCTCTCTCTCTCTCTCTCTCTCTCTCTCTCTCTCTCTCTTTTCCTGCGTCAAAGCTGAGCCGGACCTTCTCCCGCCTAGCCAAGAGCACGGCTTCGCCTTGGAAGATCCATGAAAGGAGCCCAGATTGATTTCCCCTGGGGACCCCCCCGAGGACCGGGGGGGTCCCAGGGGTAAAAACGACGACGACCACCACCACCACGACGACTACGACGACGACGATGACGACCACCACCACCACCACCACCACCACCACCACCACCACCACCGCGACGACGACGACACATGACTCGGCTTGGAAGAACGAGACGAGGGCAAGCGGGCAAGAGGGCGAGAAGAGGGCAAGAAAGTCCGTCCACTACTCGTCCACCCTAGCGCCTCGAAGACCTCGAACTAACGACCGAGCCACAGAGCATCTGATAGCGTTTGCCCTCAGACGGGCAGAAAGAGAGAGGCGGGCAGACCTGGGACCAGATGCCCCAGAAGTTCTCTGGGCATTAAAAGCGGCATGCACGGCATCAATAGCAAGACCAACGCTGAGCAGGCTGTCAGAATCGATGAGAGGGGGGAGCGCAAGGACTAAAGTGGGAATAGGATCCAACCCCCAGCACGGGGGAAGGCTCGGCAGGCACTCACGGACACGGGGGATCAGATTCGGGCACGCAAAATAGTGGAGAATATCGTCCCCTCCTACGGTAAAGCAGCCAAAACTACATCCAGCACGGCCAGCGCGGAATCGGCGGGCAGTAGCCGTAGCCCAAGCATTGCACCGTGTTTTTAACGCTGAGCTAGCAACACAGGAACCGAGTTTCTGACCGATTCTACAAAGCCTATTCATCGTTTCATCACATTGCTGCGGGGAGAGGGGGCACCAGTAGTTCAGACGAGCGCCAAAAGAGCGAGCAGAGGGAAGAGGGAAGAAGAGACGGGTCAGGGATCGAACAATTTTCCTCTGGAGGCCATTGGTGAGCTCCGTGGGGATCTCGGGAATGACGATAAGGGACTCGAAGTTGGCACGCACTTGTATGAAAGAAGAGCTCCGGTAAGTGGGGTATCTCATATAGAATAGTTCACAATCATCATGTCGAGTAAACTCCTCCAGATACACACGACCTCG